GTCCAGGGTCCTCCACCTCCTCCAGGGCCAACTCATAAGACTCCTCGCTGTCGGAGTCTGGCGGCAGCTCCAACGGCTCCTGCTGGGCCATAACAGATAACCATAAGGAGAAAGAATAAGAACCAGAAAGAAATAGGGATGAGTTGCCCAAACAGCAGCTCAGTTTTTATGATGTTTTTAACTTAAAAGAAAAACAAAACTGATAGACGTGGAAAAAGAAAAAAAATAATAACAAGAAAGCCGATCTATAATAAAGAACCACAGGAATAAGGCGAGTGGATCTGCTTTTTAAAGAGTTATACGGTGAAAAGCACGCTGGAGCATCCTGGTTTTTTTATTTTATTTTATTTTTAAATACAGACTCAAGAGCCCAAATTAGAACTCTGGAATTGGTTTTCAATTTTAGAAAGGTTTAGGTTAAGCACCAGAAAGAGCGAAATATGAGCACTGCAGCAGCAATGGAACAAGTAGTCTGAAAAAAAAGAAATATAAACTTTAGAAATTCAAGCTTTTTGTGTTTTTTATCTTTACTGTAGCAGTTAAGATAAATCTGAACTTATGGTAGTTATAAGAACAGATGGTTAGTAAGAACCCATCATGTCATCTACCTAGCTCCAATTTCTCAGACTTTGTCTCTTCTTTCTTACTTGGGTTTTACTTACTGCTTATTAGTTTGAGTGGGATTCAGCCGGTTCGGGCGGTTCACACGAACCGGATGTGCAAAATGTTTGTGCAAGGGCAAAACGCCCTCTCTCAGCGAACCGGTAGTAAACTGGTTGGAACCCACCACTGATTCCCATTCCACTCTATGGAAAGGATACTGCAAAATCCCCATTCCCTCCTCACTCCTGGGAGAAGGATATTGCAAAATTTCCCTTCCCTTCCCACTCTGGAGCCAGTCAGAAGTGGTATTTGCTGGTTCTCCGAACTACTCAAAATTTCCGCTACTGGTTCTCCAGAACTTGTCACAACCTGCTGACCTGGGTTAGACTAGAAGGTTAGAAGACCCCCAAGATCCCTTCTAACTCTGTCATTCTGAAAACAGAGCTTCTGAAATCTTTGAGAAGATGAAATTTCCTTTTAAAAAAAAAAAACCTTCAGGGCATTTTTCCTGTTTAGTTACCAGCCCACCATGGAACAGAGAGAATAATTTCATTACTTCCCAATTTGAGATAGGTTTGAAGGACTGGAATATATTTTCCACCTCTCATTCCTAGGTGTTTTCATTTAAACACCTAAGAAAACATCTGTTGCTGTGATCCTTCATTGTAGCCTGCCAGAAATTTGAGATTTGGCATTGGAATTAATCTCCAAGCTTTATGCAAAGTAAGTGAAGAGGCCTTCTCCTCTGACAAAACTTTTGGGAGATACAAGGAAAGCTAGAACTAAGGGTCCAGCATTTTATTATTAAGCAGCTGTTAAAGAATTCTTCAAATTTGACACCATGACAGACAGTAACGTTATTCCTCATATCAACAGAGCAGGAACAGACTTAGCATTTCTCAACTTCATTAATTTCTCTCCTGGAATTGCACAGTCACAGAATGTCTTGGGGAGGGAAGGCCCCAGTTGTTGCTATTGAAAAATGCAAGAGGGCTTGGATTTCGAGGTTCCTTATTTAAAGGAAATGGACGCGGTAGCTCAATGGCTAAGACACTGAGCTTGTTGATCAGAAAGGTCAGTTCGGCGGTTCGAATCCCTAGCGCAGTGTAATGGAGTGAGCTCCCATTACTTGTCCCAGCTTCTGCCAACCGAGCAGTTTGAAAGCATGTAAAAATGCAAGTAGAAGAATAGGAANTCTGACCACTGTGCCACCTCGGCTCTATGCTGCAAAAATCTGAACCTCCACTAGATGGCAGTGAACATTTCCTTTCTGGCATTTCTTGGCTTCCCAGTGTCCTGATATGGTTAACACCTATCCCCTCCAAATCGAAGAACAGTGTATAGTTCTCTCAAAAATCAGAGTCCAGGAAACATTTATATGACACAAAGTTTCTCAGTCGCCAACTGTCCCTAAAACAAATCCTGATTCCTTTTAAGTCAGTTTATGCCTTTGGCACCCATGTAAAGCAAATCAGAAACCCTCGGAGTAGTTGTCTCCTGCCTTCTCGTTCCCAACTGGAACACGGCTACCATAGTTTATGCACACAAAAAAAGGAGGGGAGGAAAAAACGTCAGAGAAGTTAAAATGAGCCGCAGCACAATTTTCTGCAACTGAAGCATCCGTCTGTTGACAGAATGGGGACGCACTTCCATTGCTTGGAATATTTAAATCATACCTCGGGGGAGTTGCCGGCAAAGTTTGGCCAAAATATAATTAGTTTGCACAGCTACTAAAGCCCAATAAATGGTTTTAATTTGCATTTGTAACTTCTGAAAGTCAAGATGCACTCATCCTGGCATTTCTGTCATTGGACGGAACGGGGTGAGTCAAACAGAATCGCAGAGTTTCTCTGTATTTACCGAAGAAATTAAATTATTGTCTTAAGGGCATCTTCATGGCAGAGGAGGGAGAGGAAAGGAAAAGACAATCGCAATCTGGAAAGGCCCAATTCTCCCCTTTTTCAATGTTTCAAAATAGACACATGTGCACCCAAAATGCATCCAGGTTTTCTTCCATGCCAAGAACAATCACAATGACAATTTTAATGAAACTTGTCCTTAGAGATGAAATTAACATCTCAAGCATGGTATAACAAGCAAAGAATGGCAACAAAGGTTATCTTGGTAGAAAGCAGGGATGGGTTCTGGCCAGCGTCATTGCTCGTGAGAATGCTTTGCGCACACATTGTATGGACACTGCGCGCCCATGTGCAGTCCAATAGAAATTGTTCTGAGCATGCGCAGAACTAAAAGAAGTGCCATTGGTTTGACATCATGGATATAGGGTCTCCTGCCTGAGCAGGGTGTTGGACTAGAAGACTTCCAAAAACAGGGACATGCAGTCAGGGGAGGCAGAGCCTCACCACTGTCATCATGAAAAGAAAAAAAATGTAAAAGGAAAAAGGCAAGA